ATAGTTAAGGTAGCAATCAGTTAATATTTTTTATGTATTGCAAACTTCATCTTATTTTAGCTCTATTAATACCCCATGTTGTACATTTGCACTCATATCCTTATATAATTCACCCTGCTACTTTTTTACCCCCTATAATCCGGCTTATTCCTACAACCTTCAGGTATCAGACTTCCCCAGATCCACTTCTCTCTCGAGGTCTTGGACCGACAAAGACTTTAGCCACTCGACCCATCCAGTCCAGTTCCTGCTCTGTTGGTTCCTCAGCCTGTTATTTACCTTCTTTGGCATCCTCATCTGACTCCCCGTCATCACCTTTAGCATCTTCTTCCTCCCTCTTACAATGGAGCACTGCATGCAAATCCAACTTCCCTGCAGCCGCCAATGTTCATACTTTGGAGCAAAGGTCGATTGCTTGCTCCGAATCGAGATCATCTACTGGGTCAAGTTGTGAAAAGAAGAGTACCAAGCATCCGAGCTCACTTACAAGGCCAGACGATGAGCAACCGAATAGTGATGTCGAAGAGGAAGCAGACGTAACTATATCTTCTAGTTTTTACGTCGAGAATAGACAGAGCGAACATGGCTCACAAAGTCATGACGTAAGGCCAATGGATGAGGAAGAGATTGAAGCGAAGAAACTTGAAGTGCAATCGCAGGGAACAAATGCCCAGATACGCCGGCAGAACAGGGAATCAGAGGAAGACGTTGATTTAAGCGATGATTTCGAGTCTGTGGAGGCAGATGGATCTTCTGATCCTGGGTCTCAATATTTATCCTCAGAAAGCTGTCGTATTGCTGCTCAGGACTTGGCTCGTGCTGTATGTACACTTTTCTCATTATTGAGTCTTATTTTCGTAACAGAGTGCAAATACATCTACACATACAGGCTTCCACGAACTCTAATGAAATTTTGAAATGATTATTTTAGTTCATATTAAAAAAATTTCACACTTCAATATTTCCTTTAAAGCTCAAGTCACTTTCCTGTAATTGTTTATTTTTCCTATTCAAGCTGGTTGAATTGCATGCGTCTTACTTAATGATACAGAATTAAAGCTTTGTTGTATTGAAAGCTTGAGAGGTTACTGAATCAAGCTGGCTCTTTGTCCAGTCTGCTTGCGTAGTGCCTTAATGTTAGATAAGCTGCAAAGTTTTCACCAATGACCCACTCTTGCTATTGGCTAAACATCCCTCGATTGCCGCTCAACTATCACTTTTTAAAATTTCGATATGCTATGCTCATTTAGTCTTAAAAAGAGATTTTGCGTATATGGACAGATCTGAGTCCCATGAAAACGTTGTGCTTGCGACTGAATAAATAGTCCACTATGTGCTCCTTTGCTAGCAAATGCAACTTAGACTGTAGATACAGTTGAGTACATGCTAGGCGGATATTTTCGGAAATAAGTGTCTAAAAGTCTGCCTTATTATTTGTTGATTGATCTGTCTGATCGCCTTGGTACTAAATTAACCATTTGTAGCGCCCCATTTTAAGGGAGAATTTGGAGGATGTACAGCATACTGTGTTCTCTTCAATTTATGTCATCTGTTCCAGCATCGGACCGCTGAATTCACATCCCCAGCTTTGACATCTCATTAAAATGATGTGAAAAGTCAATTTCATTTACTACCACCCTTCAAAATTTGTTTCCTTGCTTTTTTCAATAATCTCAAGATGCGTGTTTATTTGCCTTTGGGTTAGTCTAGTGAAGCTTAGTTACATTTTTCTTCGATCTCATCCTTTTTTCTAGCTTCTTGATCTTCACCTCATAGGCTTATCTCTCTGTGCCCTCGAAAATCTGTGTCTAACTCTCCAGAAATCTAATTGATCGGCTGCATCCACTCGGTCTTATTCATTCTATAGGACTTATTCACATGATTACCCTCTTATTTATTATACCAAGGCTTAAAAGCCATTATTGTCATATTTGCTATCGTTTTCAGTCTCCTGCTCAGGATCACGAGTTTACTGTAATTGCCCTACTTCTGACATGTCTATCATGCCCTTCTTGATCTGTCCCTTTTTCCTTGGAACCGTTCTATATTATCTTCTCTAGTCCCAACTTATTTTGATTGGTAATTTATCGATCTTTGGCGTTACTAATCCTTATAACATTCCGCTCAAACCTCACCATGTAGTTCTTATGTCTTACACCTTTAGGCCGTATACACGGGTTGGTAAATCTTGTGGCCTGTAAGTGAATAAATGGACCACTCCCTTGTAATCTTTGCCACCCGAATTTCATAATTCGAGTGAAAGAATCAATCTGGACCCGATCTTCTTAATTTTAACGGGAAACCTATTAAGATGATTGTGACTATTTAGCTCTTTGTTTCCCAAGAGAATACTCTTTAACATTTCGAATTTGGTTCCTTAGTTTAAATGCTTTTATTGTGATCATTTTTTCTCAAAATTGCCTTCTATTTATGCCTTTTTTTTATCTTTTTAAGTTAAAACCTTCACTATAATTGTTTTTTTTATCTCCTGGATTCTCGACTCTAAGTTTTCCTAGAAGTAAGAAATAAGTTCCCACTAATCCCTACCAGTTCTAATTTATGGTTTAGCCAAATAGCTTTAGTCTCCATCTCGTATTTCCTATTTCTATCTATAATACCATGTCCATCACTTCATACGTTATATTCTCTTGTGTGCCAAACCACAATTGTCGTGGTTCTACTAGTTTTCATTAGGCTCACTGAAGACACCTCTGCTA